CTGATTACCCTGACCAGCGGCCGTTTTTTGGAGATCACCCTGATCTTGTAAGGGTGTTTTGTTTGTCACCCTTAATCAAACAACGTACCGAAATTTTTACCCTTGTGTAGACAGGGAGTTTGCACGATTACCCAGCCCTGACAGGGTGTGGCCGAAAACACCCTGAAACAGAATGTGCCAAACCCCGGAGATTCGACAACTGTCGAATCTGCCACGCGCGTCACCTCCCCCAAGCCCTCCCGCCCATCGACAGTAGGACTGTCCTTTTGGTCCCAAAACAACTGCCACGCGTGCCCGACAGCCTGGCTATGTGAGGCAGCATCGCTGCCAACGCTGCATAGTTTCTCCAGTTGGCAGCATTTTCCCCGCGCACACCAGCCTGGCTGCCATCAAACTGGCAAACGCATGCAGCAACATGACGGCTTCACTGCCAGCCGATGCGCGCGCTATGCAGCATGGCGGGGTGCGTTTCATGGCGCGCAGGCAACCCACGAAGGGCCCTTCCTCCTCATCCCCTCCATACCTACAGATCGCCAACACTCCAATACGCACAACTCCTGTTAGTGCCTCCATCCCCCTCCTAGTTTCTTACCACACTGGCTACCCACGCTATGGTCCTCTCACAGGACGATGAGGAGACAGACGACGCACCTGAGCACCGCTACAATGGCCTCAGCGTGCTGGGAGTCTTTCCTCTCACCCCCCGAGCAGTAGCCCCTCGAATCTCGCCGCCTGTCATCCCTCCCGCAATCAGCTCTCCTCGTAGCGAGCATTCAGATCCTGTCACTCTTAGCTCATCCCCTCCTTGCTCGCCAACCGCATCTAGGCGCGTTACCACCGGTGGAGGGGAGGGATGTTCCCATCCCCCCATTTCGCCGTCGCGCTCTCAGCCAACAGTGCCACTTAATCGCAAGCGTCGCTGTCAGTGGATGCAGCAGAGGCTCTGGGGGGCGCCTCCCCCGCATCAGCCTCCCAGTCCGCCGCCCGCTAGGCCTCCCCGTTCTGACAACGCCTCCTCCGTCCTCCCGAATCCCACGACCGCCGCGGAGGCCGAGTACGCACTGGTGAAGAACCGCTTCGACACCGATTGGTCAAAGCGGTTTCCATGGCTTCGCTTGAACTGCATGCGTAACGGTCGTCCCGCGCTCAAGTGCAACGTCTGCCTCAAGCACGCCGACCCCACGGCCAACACCAGTTACGGTGTCAAGGGGGAGGGAGGGCGCGACCTGCAGCTCGGCAGCATACGCTCCCACCTTGGAACTCGCGCACACAAGGCTGCGCTGAAGGCGGAAGAGGATGCTGAGAAGGAACGGGCTCGCCAGGTAACGTTAAGCCGATGGCAATGCACCGACCGACAAACGCGGCACCTCATCCGCTGCCTACACATCGCGATATTCGTGTGTAAGAAGGACGCGCCTATCACCATGTTTGTCCCACTCTGCTGGTTCATGGCTAGAGAGGGGCTTCCGGATCTACCACCCGACGGCGGTTACGGCTCCTACTACAGCGAGTGAGTCATATATTTTATGACCATTCGGTTTCCGCTTGCTTGTGATGTATGACAGATCTGTTTATGTGTGGCTCATTTAGCATACATAAAATTCCGACCCAATGGCAGGTACGGCTTCAACGAGAGCATTCGTGCCATCTCCTCCCATCTTCAAGAGCAGCAACTCAAGCACATCCAGGACTCGCCTTTCGTGGGGATCTCTATCGACGAGAGCACTGACCGCATTCACGGTAAGCACCTCATCCTGTACGCGACGTTCTTCAAGGGAACTGCGGTCGTGACCGAATTCGTCACCCTCCTCAGCGTCGACCGCACCGATGCTGCTTCGTTGACGACAACACTACTTCGCTACCTCCAAGGCATGGGCCTCGACCTGCAGAGGATAGCAGGCATGTCCACCGACGGCGCTTCGGTCATGACGGGGGAGCGGAATGGCGTGGTCGCCCGCTTGCGGGCATGCATCGAGCACCTTGTGTCGACACACTGCATCGCCTACAGGTATGCTGATTTCCCATCCACAGTTGCCGAGGGTCCGACATGTGTCGACTTGCCAACGCCTCTGTCTAATGCTCCGCTCATACTATTTTTATCTGTTTTAGATGCCTCTGTCTGATGCGATTCCCATCCTACCGCTCCTCCCTCAGGGAGGCTCTCGCGGCCAAGGACGTAGCTGGAGTGGTACCAGAGCTCGCGATGATCGACCTCGTGATTCGCGTTCTCGCCGACATCCTGGGGCGCAGCAACGCGTGGCACGGTCGGTTCATGAATCTGCAGTTGATGTTCTGCCTCACCTTGTTGGAGCACCAGGGCATCCACCACATCCGCTGGCTTTCCGGTGGCGAGGCGGTGAACCGGCTCGTGGAGGTGTTGCCGGCCGTGATCATTCTGCTTCGTGAACATGGGAGCGAGCACTACGAAGTCATGACATCATTCAAATTCAACTTCCTCGTCCGGTTCCTCGCTGACATCCTTACCGAGCTCAACCACCTGAACACGAAGTTCCAGGCCCGCCAAGTGAGATGAGAATTGTGCACGGGTACACAGTTCTGATGGCCTCCTTGTGCCTACCCATGTTCAATGTACTTCTGCTATCGCTGCTCAAGCCTGTTAATTCCCTTTCCTGCTTCGTCCGTTTCGGCCTCTGTTGTGTGGCCGTGCAGGTTGATGTGACGCTGGTGGCCCACCATGTGGAGCAGACGAAGAGGCGCATTAAAGCCCGCTACCTCAACGGCGCCCCTGGCAGCGCATTCAGACATGGTGAGAAGCTACATCTGCCCGCGTTCCTCGCCAATCACGCCTCCCTGGATCGGCGAACAATGCGCGCCGAAGGGGTGGATGGCTACAGCAAGCCAATGACGTTCAGCTTCACCCTTCATGAGCGCCCCCTGCCTGGACAAAACACGAATGGCGACATCACTGCGTGCTACGAGGCGGCCGTGAAGTATGCCAAAGAAGTCAACAACGGCCTGGATCGTCGTCTCTCCGACCTTCAGAACCTCGAGGGCACGAAGCTCTTCCTGGAGCAAGCGTACCTCTCCGAGGATCTTGCGCGACTTGCGGCCTTCAAAAAGTGGCTGAAGCAGTTGAACGGCCTCTTCCGCGACAAGCTTTCAGGTTAGTGTATGAGTCAATGCATTCCACTGAGTTATTGTTGTATACATGGTGTATATGTTTGCATCACCATCCCGAGATGCTCAGGAAGCCGTGCTATGTGTTTGCTTACCCCCCCCCCCCCAAGGCTTTGACTACAACCGCGCTCTGGAGGATCTGTGGATGTTTACATCCACAATGGTGTCGCAGCACCACAAGGAGGATTTTCACCAGGCGCTCAGCAACACCCTCTGTGACGACGACTGGCAGCGCCCCTTCCCCAATATCATGCTGTTGTGGCAAGCTGTGGCCATCCTCCCCCTCAGCACAGTCGAGTGCGAGAGGGGCTTCTCGAAGCAGATCTTGATCAAGACCTGGGCCCGCGGCAGCATCGGCGACATTAGCCTGGGCCACCTGATGACGTGCTCGCTCCTTGACTACGAGGTTGATTGGTTCGATGTGGTTGCTTGGTTTCAGGGTGAGAAGATTCGCCGCCCCATCCGCGATGTGCCCGGTGCTGCTCCTACTGCAATGGAGTTCATGGAGCCTGACGCTCAAGAGGCATCGGCGTAAGACGAGCTAGAGGCTAGACTAGAGTGACTGCAGTAGTGGCTGTTTCAATAGCGTAGAGTGACTATTGCCTAGAGTATGCTAGAGTAGCAGCAATAAATTGTAGGTTCCCTAGACGCCCGTGGGGCAAGTAGACTGGTTAGTTTAACTCTAATTATTCAACACGAAGCTTAGTGTAATAGTATATGTTTATTTGACTAGTGCGCTTTGCAAGTCACAACAGGGTAGCCGCAAAAACACCCTGTCTCAAACAGGGTAATTTGTTTTCTAAGCCAAAACACCCTGATTTTAACAGGCTGCCGAAATTTTCACCCCAAGGGCCACGGTAAAAACAGCACTGTACCCTGATTAGTAAGGGTCCTTTTAAACCAATCCCTGGCCCTGGTGGGGACTTCGACGAAATTCTGAGTTGCGAGGGGTGTGGGGGAGAAATGTTCCTGGGTTGGAGGACTTCGCCAAATTGTTTCTGTTGCGACCTGGTGTAGGTGAGGTTTGGGGGGGAGGGGATCATGCGCCAACCAGGGGGGAAACTGTTTGGTTCAGCGTCGATCCCCATTAGTGCGCTCATGCATCAGTGTCTACAATAAAAAAAACGCTGGAACGTTAGTCTTATACGCAAAAAAAAAGCCTTTTCAACAGGGTTCAATCAGAAAAAAAGGCATTGAAAAGGTACACACCTTGTCCTTTGCAATAGGCATCGTTCTCATATCAAGTGGGCTAGGTACAATAGTCGCTTACTAGCTTATAAGAATCTAAACATGCACACCTCATGATCCTAGTTGTGCGCTCCCGTTCGAGTGACCGGCTGCCCATTGGAGATGCGCGGTTGTTTAGAGGGGGGGGTGGGTGGGAAAGTTGACTGAGCCGTTTGAAAAATGAGAGACGTGGGTGGAGGTAAATGAGCTCCAACCCACGTATATGTAGTTGGAGAAGGGCGAGTAGTGCTCTTCGATGATGCCCAACGCTTCAGTACAATCAGCTTCGCTTTCACAATACACAAATTTTGAAAAACACTGCGTGTGTTAAAAATTATAATTTTTCATCAGGGTCGGTACAAGCAAACACCCTGAAAAAAAGCGTAAAAACCGTAAAAATCCTGATATCGTGTCGTGGGGCCTTGTTCACCCTTGCTCTTAGAAACTTGGGACTAAAGGTTCTTAAACTTAGGAGGCTAGGTTGGCTAGGTTACTAGGAAGAAGACCGCCATGGAATGGCGTGAGGAAAAACGGATCTAGGAGGTGAGAGGATGTCGAGAAGAAAAAGGGAGTTGGATTAGGAAGAGAGGGGAGTACAAGGAGGGGTTTGTACCCCCTACAGAAAGGTTCAGTAACAACCTACCAAGCCTATATTAAATTATAACTTATATAATTTTAACACTTGCTTCTAGTTCATTCTCGTATTCTAACATATTCATGGTAGATAAGAAATTGCAAAAGCAAGCGGGGGGTGCCTTCTCCCAGGGCTACCATTAGTACGCATTGCCTTCGGCAACGGAGCATCCCAAAGCCATGCATTATTTCCCTAAACCCCAACCCTCCCAAAATGCATACTGCCACCCCCTCAACTCGATCCTCCAAGATGCAAACAGTTGAGACAAATCATGGGGCACCATCGTTGTAGCTTTCAAGAGGGGCCCTCCTCTGTTACTTCAGCCTCAGGCGAGGCATCTCTGGCAAACGAAGAGCGAAGCGAGGCCTCTGCGGAGCGGCCAGTATCGGAGAGCATGCGGGAAAAGGAACCCTTCTTATCTGCGACCAGCTGCCGTGGCGATGCAAACTCCACCACTCGGCCTTGCTCTAGAACCAGCACCTGATGTCAGAGGGGAGGGCCCAACCACAGAAAGATCGACATTGCTGTTGGCTCCCTTCCACCGACCACAGGCAGATGCGACTTGTCCTTGAACGGTACGTTGGCGTGCCTTGCATGCTAGGTAACCTAAGCGAGTGAAGTGAACCCAGTAACGAGTAAATACTCCTCTGCTATGGTTTTTTTACGATCCTTAAGCCGTGTAGCAGCCCTCACCTTGTGGGCGTCGATGATGGTGTGCAGGCGGTGCGCGATGGTGATGACGGTGCTGACGGCGAACTGCCGCCGGATGGTGCTCTGGATGAGTGCGTCTGTTGCCAAGTCCACATTCGCCGTCGCCTCGTCCATCAGCACAACAGGGCTCCGCTGCACAATGGCACTGGAAAAGGGGGTGGGGGTTGGTGGGCGTGAGAGGAGAGACATTGGGTACGATAGGGTTGGCTGTGGTGTGAAGGGGCCGTGGAAAAGAGTGGGTGTGCAACAAGGGTGGAAGAGTGGAGAGGGCATCTGGGAGAGTCAGCTTACAAGGGGCTAGGGTATGAACATGTTTTGCATGTATAGGACGGGGGCAAACATAAAAAAAGGCAAAGTTGCCGCACCGCTAAAGGCACAACCCCCACCCACCGTGCGAGGCACACGAGCTGCCGCTGCCCCACGGAGAAGTTGTCCCCAAATTCGCTCATGCTCGCCTCCAGCCCCCTCTGCAGCCCGCCCACCATTCCCCTCAGCTGCACCGCATCCAGCGCTTCCCACAGCGCTGCGTCCGGGTGCTGCCTGGGGGAGGGTGAAGCAGAGGAAGGCATGGAAGGGGAGCAGATTCGGGCATGGGCTTGCGAGCAGAAGAGGGCGATGGAAGGCCCCTTCAATTGCTTTGCTTGGGTACAGCTACTGCTTGGGCGGGAGCGTTACGAAGGTTGTGGTAGAGGGGAAGGTGTGCGATGGAACGTCTCAGCGTAGGGTGTGGAGAGGTGTAGGCAATCGGGTGAGCAATGGAGGATGGTGGAGCGGCAAAGAAGGCGCTGGAAAGACAGCGCCAAGCCCCTCCGGTCTACCGCCTGCAGTGCCTCCCGAAACGGCGGGTTTAAGTGCCGGCTGGGCGAGGGTGTGAGAGGAAGAGTGGGGCACTTGGGAGTGAGAATGGTTTGACGAAAAAGCATTAAAGGGGGTTGAGGGGAGCGCATGGAACGGGCACGGTTGAAGTGAGCACAATTGAAACTCAATTCACGGTGAATTTCAGCTTGACGGTGAACAGGTGGTTGAAATGGCAACGTACTGGAAAGGGTCGAGGTTGAATCGGAGGGAGCTGCCAAAGAGTACGGGATCCTGCGGTATGGCCATGACCTGAGGCGTTGGCACACACGGAGGGAAGGGGACGGAAGGGAGAGGGAAGGTCTTTGAATTCGCGTGGTCACACCATTTGGAATGTGAGAGAGGGCTAAGCAATATTGAGACTACTGGGGCGTGGTGGTAGGAAGAACCAGAGGCAAACCATGAGGCGCACATCTTGTAGCCCAAATTCGCTGTAAGCTCACACTGTGGCGCAGGCGTGTGAGGGAGATGAAGGAGGTGTCCACTCCATCGATGAGGATGCGCCCGCTGGTCGGCTGCACCAGGCGGAAGAACGCCAGCATTAGTGTGGACTTGCCCGCGCCTGAGGGGGTGGTGTGGGGGAGGGGGTGGGGGGGCGTGTGCATGAGGCCAGGGTTCAGATAGGTGTGGAAGAGGTAGCTTACAGTCTTACTGATAACTTGGCTCCTAGGCATTCACTCGTTTGGTTTGTCCCAGCACAACGCACTCAGCTCGTCCCTGCGACAAGTCTGCAGTTAAATAACAAGTCATCAGGGAGGGATACCAGGGACAACAGTGCGCCCCAGGCACTCACCAATGCGCCCCAGGCACTCACCAGTGCGCCCCAGGCACTCACCAGTGCGCCCCAGGCACTCACCAGTGCGCCCCAGGCACTCACCAGTGCGCCCCACGACGCCGCACTTCTCTCCGCCGCGCAGCTGGAAGGTGACATCCTGCAGCACTGGCTCCAGCCCGGGGCGATACCGCACCGTCACCCCCTCCACACTCACCGCCCCCTCACTCGGCCACTCACCCACCACCTGCCGCTCCTCTCCCTCCGTCCCTTTCCCTGTCCCCTCCTTTCCAGCTTCTTTCCACTTGGCGCAAAATCCAACAGTTGGTTTCTTTCCCACTCCTCGCCTCCCCCCTTCCCCCTCCTCCTGGGGCAAGTGTGTATAGTAGAGTGCGCGCTCAACCCCCGTGAACTGCGGTGAACGACAGGGTGGTAGGCGGGAGTGAAAAGCACACAGAGAAGATGCCTGCGCTGAGCTGGCTGAAAGAGAAAAAATCATCAACAAACGGAAAGAGAAGGAGAGACCACCACCCACGGCAGAGACAGCCCTACGGACAGAAGTGCGTCTGACCATGTTTTCAGTCTCGGCCCCTTGCCGCACGGCCCACTGCAGCCGTTTGGAGAGCTGCAGAGTGTAGCTGAGCGCCAGAGCCACCAGCCCCGGTGGCAGGGACGCCCTGAGAGCGACAGCAAGCGTGGCGACGAGCAGCACGAAGAGAGAGACGATGGCGTCGAGGCGGAAGGCCATCCAGTGCGAGGCGGCGAGCCAGCAGTAGAAGGCGCGGCCGTTGGCGTTGAGCAGCCGGTGGAAGGTGCCCTCCGCCTGCTGTTGTGCTCCGAACGCCCGTATGGTCGCCAGGCCCTGCAAGACCAGTGGGGTGGGGCGCCAAGGGAGGCGTATTTGGGGAGGAGGGCATGGGGTTGACGTATGGCGATGGCACGAGAACTCCAGTGTGAGCACAGCACAGCAGTACGCATGATTGCGGGGAACGAAGGGGATTTGGGTGCATCTGTGATGCGCTCCAGCCCCTTGGAAGACTAGCAGTGAGGTGCAGAGGAGGATGTAGCAAAAGGGAAAGAGGAGGAAGAGGAAGAAGGTGGTAAAAAGGGAGAGGACGGGACGAAGAGGTTGATGAGGGTGACTCAGATAAAGAGGCGGAACGGAGGAGAGAGGGGGGGGGGGAGGGCTACCTGGATGGTGGCAGCATAGTGCGCGTAGACAGGGCTGCGAGTGACAGCCTCGAGCCTCTTGGCCTCGCGGGAGGTGCAGACGAAGATGTAGCGCAGGCGCAGGAAGAGCAGGAAGACGAGCAGCATGGCGAGGAGGACCCACGGCAGGCCCAGCGCCACCATCACTATTGACGCCACTACCAGACTCAGCTCCTGGTGGCGGGGAGGACAAGGGAGGAGAGGACGAGAGAGGCGAGGAAGGGAGGGGAGAGGGGGGGTCGCAGCACAGGTGAGAAGGAATTGCGATAAGAAGGATTAAGCACATCCGCAGTCCACCAAGTGATAAGTGATATCATGGCGATTGACTGCAACGTGAGTCTGTGAACAGTGGGTTGGTAGACAGAAAGGGAGAAGGAAGGAGGGCAGGAGGGGGGAGGTGGGGAGAGGGGAAGGAGGGTGGGGGGGAAGAGAAGATCTGTATCACGTACAAGAAGCATGCGGGAGGGGAGCAGCAATGTCCATCGGCAGAGGACATACACACTCGTGCATGTCGCCTGCATGTCACGTGCATGTCGCATGCATGTTGCCTGCATGTCGCCTGCATGTGCACATACCACGTTTGGAGGAGGCAGTAGCAGTAGAAGAGTGTGGCACCTGAGCATAGTTGAAGAGCGTGAGTGGCAGCTGGTCGTCCAGGATGCCCTGATCAGCGGAGAAGCGGTTGAGCACGCGGCCGATGGGGTTGGCGTGGAAGAAGGCGAGCGGCGAGCCCAGCACAGCCGCCAGCATAGCGGCGTGGATGCGCGAGGCGGCGCGCACGCACCACCGGAAGAAGAGCACGGAGCGCACGAATGAAAGGGCGACCCCTGCCAGCACTATGCCTGTGTACATGAGAGTGTAGGGCCATGATTGGTCCTTCTTCTGCGACCAGAAGGCGAGGAACCTGCGAGCGACAGGGGAGTTCATAAGGGGAGAGGCAAGAGAGGAGGGGTGCACAGGACGAATGAAGAAGAGAGAGGGAAGAACAGCAGCTGACTAGGGTCTTGCACTAGGACAGCAACTGAGCTCTAGTTAACATGACGACTGAGACCAAAGAAAAAAGAGCAGAGGGTACTGACCAGTCGCCAGCACAAGCGAGGATTTGCCCGAGAGCAAGGAGGACAAGGAGCAGCAGCGACCGCAAGACACCGACCCTCTTGGCATATCCCAGATACACTCCCACACCAACCATTCCTGCCTCCTTCCCCTCCTCCTGCACCAAGCCTGGGAGAAAGGAAGAATCAAAGGGACGCGAAGGGGAAATGAGTGGCACGTGCGAGGCCGTCATGGTCATGCCTCAGGCAAGCCTGGCAGGACAAGTCAGGCTAAGGGCACCGTATCCAGCACCTCCCAACTCTACTCTCGCCCAATGCCCCCTCACACACGCTCTTACCTCGCACACACACACACTCTCACCCCCGTCCACCATCTCACCTTGTCCAACATCTTCATCCTCCATGCCCTCACCACCCTCCATCAACCCATCCACTCCTCCTGCTCGTTCTCCTGGCAGGGCCATGATGCCCATGCTGCCCGTGATGCTGTGGCTTCGTGGCAGCTTCCCTCCACGCTGCCCGTGATGCAGGGACGGGTCACGTTTCGTGAGCTTGCGAAGGCGCTGCAGAAGCAGTGCTTGGAAGGACGGGTCTTCATGAAAGGGAGGAAGGGAGCCTGAAGACCATTGGAAGCTTCGCCTCCTGCTGCTCCTGCTGCTCCTTCTGCTGCTGCTGCCCTTGCTGCTGCTGCTGCTGCTTCCTCCTCCTACTGCTGCTGCTGCTGTTGCCTCTGATGCTACAGCTGCTGCAGCTGCCACTGCTGTTGCTGCTCCTGCATCTGATGCCGCTGCTGCATCGGTTGCTGCTGCTGCAGGGGCTTCAGATGCTGCAAGCGAGGCTGCAGCAGCAGGTCCAATGGTAGCTGATGCGGTGAAGGCTTCTTGGATTAAATTTCTTTGCTGAGGGTCCAGCTTTTGAATGTCGATGGAACAACGCGGAGAGCTAGCTTTGAAATGAGCAGCAGCATCACCAGTGTCATCGTCATCATCATCCCCGACAGAGAACAAAAACTGGTGCTTCAGTCCCACTCGAGAACCCTTCACTCCTCCCCTCACCCCCCTTCCTCCTCTGCCTTCTCCTCTCCCCCCTCTGCCCTCCTCCTCATCCACGCCACCAGCAGCTAAGAAGCCATCCTCATCTCTCGCCTCTCCCCCTCCCACCTGCTCTTCCCCCACCTCCACGTGCCCCTCCCCCTCGTCGCCCCCCAGCAGCCCCTGTGAGGCCAGCGCAGCGGACGGACCCAGCGCCACTGCCCTGCCACCTTCCAGCACCAGCACCCGGTCGCAGCTGGGGAGGGAAAAGGGTGTTGGGAGGGGGAGGGGGGAAGAGAGAAAGACGGGAGCAAGAGGTAAGTGAGTGCAGCAGGGCAGGGAGTGGACCACAGCTGGGGTGTGACAGGGGAGAGAAAGAGGTGCCAGGGAGTTCAGTGGGAGGGGGGAGGAAAGGGGAGACGGATGGGAGGAGTGAGAACCGAATATTATAAGCAATAGGCAGCAGCAGCATTGACCTTCGCCCCTCACCCTCACCTGTGCAGGTACTGCATCTGGTGCGTGACGAGGATCCGGGGCCGCCCCGCCATGAGCCCGAGGATGCAGTGGTGCAGGAGGTGGGTGCCCACGGCGGCATCCACGGCGGCCAGCGGGTCGTCCAGCAGCAGCAGCGCCGCATCCCTGGCGTACGCTGCTCGCGCCAGCCCCACGCGCGCGCGCTGCCCCCCGCTCAGGTTCACTCCCCTCTCCCCAAACTCTGTGAGGTCGCCCCTCGGCCAGCTCGCTATGTCCCGCCGCAGCGCACACGCCTCCACCACCTGCCGCAAAAAAGGGGGAGGGGAGGCGAGAGTGGGGGGGCGGATGGGAGGGAAGGATTGGGAGAGTTGCTGTTGACTGGACCATGAAAGAAGGGTTAAACGGATAAGGGGGGGAACAGCAACGACAATAGTGCATGGGTGCCAAGTGAAGGCAAAGTGAAGGGGGGAGGGTGAAGAATACGGAAGGGAGGGGATGGGGGATATGGAATGGCGTTATGGAGTGGTTAATAGAGTGGAATATGGGATGGCATTAGGAGCTTTGCTAAAGAGTGCCACACTGCGGAAACGGGTCAGCTGGGTGTGGGGTTAAGGGTTAATCACCTGATCGTACAGATGCTGTTGAAATGGACGGCCGAAGATGATGTTGTCCTTCAATGATCCTGCCATTATGAACGGCTGTGATGTATGCACAAGAGGCAGCACACCCAGCACAGACACAAATGTGACAAACAAATTCAGAAAGCGACATTAAAGATTGCAAGGACGATTGTTGGCTAGGTACTCAGAGATGTGAGGCCCCAGCCATAGTTTGGCATGCTTGCAAACCACACAACCACCGCGCACACCAGGGCTAGCACGTGCACGCATGCATGTCAATGTGTGCATGAGCGTGCGTCTCTGCATGTGTGCACGTGCATGCCCACCATGTCCACCATGTCCACCATGCCCAACATGCCCAACATGCCCACTCTGCCCACCACGCCCACCTTCTGTGCAGCATATGCTATTCTGCCAGCGCTGCACTCCAGCCGCCCCCCCAGCAGCTCAGCATCACCCAGAATGCCGTCCAGCAGCACTGACTTGCCTGCGCCCACCTGCCCGCACACGGGAGAGCACACCAGGTGGCAACAGACAATTGTTAGAGGGGACTTGCAGACCACTACGTGCCCCTCCCTCCTGAGAAAGGAGATGGCTGGAAAGGGCATGGTCAGAGGCAAGGAGAGGACAAGGCAGGAGGTTCAAGAGAACAGAAAGGGCAAGGCAGCTATATCAAACACTCTCCTTTCTTTCTCTTCCCCCCCCTCCCCTCTCCCCCTTCTCCCTCGCACACCTTGCCCGTGACGCCCAGCAGTTCGCCCTCCCCCAGGCTGAAGCTCACCCCCTCCACTGCCACCACCACCTCCGCATCGCCCTCCCCATCCCCTCCTGCCCCATCTCCTCCCCTCCCCTTTCCGGCTCCTTCCTTGCCCGAGCGGTCATCCCTGCTATCTGTGTCAATCTGTGTGTCCCAGTCCACAACCTTTCTCCCCCTCCCTCTCATCCACTTCCTCATCCCCTTGCTGCTACCCCTACTGGCCCCTGCCTCCTGCTTGCCCTCACCCCCCTCCCTCCCTGCACCGCTCACTCTCCACCCGAACGAGGCGTTCACCAGCTCACACACGCTCCTTCGCTCTCCGCCCCTCTGCCCTGCCCCCTCTCCAGCAGCACCACCACCACCACTGACAGCGGCAGCAGCAGCAACAGGAGAAGCTGCCTGGTCCTGTTCCAGCAATTGCCGACCGCTCTTCTCTTCTCCTCCATTCGTCCCTCCTGCAAGCCTGTGCTGGTCACTGGATGGTGTCGACCTTTCGTCCTCTCTTCTGTCAGTGCTGCTCGGCAGCTGCGATTCAAAGTCGCGAGAGGGAAGGGAATGAGAGGAACGAGCGGTACCACATGGAGAGAAGAGTTGGGGGGGAAGAACGGATGGTGCAGGGAAAGTAGTGGTAGGTACACTTGACAAAGATATGAGCTTAAGGTGCCTCAAAAGGTATCGCATGTGACCTGGTCGCCTATTCAGCCACAGCCGCCTACCAATGCTAAGTGCCATGCCCATAACGATGCTCATACAGCCGTGCCCAACTCCCCCTTACCCTGCCTCGTTTTTTCCATCCCACCTGCACAAATTCCTCGAGCCTTGCGAAGCTCACAGCAGCCTCTGCCACGCGCTCGACGCCCATTGAGAAGAGCACACACATCCACTGCCGGGGCAGCTGGGGGAAGACGAGGCGCAAGGGGTATGTGGGACGGGGCAGGAGTGTTTAGGCACAAGAGGGACGCGGGCAGGAGCACGAGCTGGCAGCAGCCCTCTCTATGCTCTCTGGAAACAGCACACGCGTGCACGCGCGCGCGCGCACACACACACACAAACACACACACACCCGAGGCAGCAGGGGGAAGAGGGAAGGAGACTGGGAGAAGCGGGATGAAGGGTGAAGAGGAGATGGGAGAAGATAGCTGCTTCCCGAAGAAATCCCCTCCGCCATTCAACCCCCCCCCCCCCCACCTGCCCGCACAAACTGTGCACGGATATTGAGGGGCCCAGAAAATCGCCCTCCTCCACTCCAACAGAAGCAAGAGGAGGCATGGAAGAGAATGGAGCGCGCACAGAGATTGCACCTGCACGAGCGAGATGCCATTCAAGACTGCTGCAGCTTCCATGGCCCCGCAACCCCACCAGCACAACCCGCTTCCCCTCCCCCCCCCCACCTGCACAAGTGCGATGACATAGAACACGGTGGAGGGCTGCAGGCGCCCCCCCTGCAGCGAGTACGTGGCGAAGATGAGCAGCGCCACCAGGGACGACGCCATGAAGTTCACTGCCTTGTTGAACGCCTTGATGGACGCCGCCCGCTCTATGCTGCCGGGGGGGGGGGAAGGGGGAGGGGGGCAGGGGCAGCGGCAGGGGCAGGGGCAGGGGCGGGGAAGGGCACGTATGGGAGGAGCATTGGCAGGAGGAGGGAAAGCATCAGCGCGAGGGAAGAGTGGAGAGGATGCGGAGTGGAATGTACGCCTTGAATCGATGCAAGAAGAGGAGGAAGAGAGTAGCAGAGGTGCGCCGTGCGGGCATTTTGGGCAGCACAGCACGTACTTGGTGCGCCGTGCGGGGCATGTTGGGCAGCACAGCACGTACTTGGTGCGCCATACGGGGCATGTTGGGCAGCACAGCACGTACTTGGTGCGCCGTGCGGGGCATGTTGGGCAGCACAGCACGTACTTGGTGCGCCGTGCGGGGCATGTTGGGCAGCACAGCACGTACTTGGTGCGCCGTGCGGGGCATGTTGGGCAGCACAGCACGTACTTGGTGCGCTCGCGGTTGCGAATGCTCTGAATGAAGGTGGAGAAGGGTGCCTCCCATGCAAACATCTTCACGGCGAGAATGCCGGACAGCACCTGACGGCACCACATGCCATGGAGCACAGGGGCACAGCACACCATGGAGCACACACCATGGGGCACACACCATGGGGCACACACCATGACACAGACACCATGGGGCACAAGCGGGTGGGCACTGAGTGTGGTTGTTGGCGGACGGGTGGAGGAAGTGAGATGGGAGTGGAAGAGGAGTGTGACCATCACACTCCGTATGCCCAACCAACGCTTCAGGTCCGTTGCTTCCCGACCGGCAGCCACACAGAAACAGGTGCCATGTCGCCGCAATCCCTGTCGGATCAAGCAGAGCGCCGAATGCTGATAGTGCTTCCCATTGAAAGTGAAAGGCCATAATGCTCCACCACTTCTGAGTTGACGCGAAAAGCATACCCCCCCCAGCGACGGCACCTCATAATTCATTCCCAGTCGGCTCAGCTCCATCCAAGCAGCGTACCTCGCCAGTCATCTTCACCCTCGCATCCGTGAACTTGGCCGTTTTGAGCCGCAGCTTGGCAAACAGGTGGCCAAACAGAGCCTGAGGGGCGCAGGGAGGAGGCAAGATTGAAGGAGGGAACGTGGAAGGACGATGGTGAGGAGTGAGAGAGAAGGCACGAACGGGCCATCACTCTGCGAGTCTTTTTTGCAGAGGGAGCAGGAAAGAATAGGAGATGGCTGAACAGGAGGCAAGTGCCATACTACATGCCAAGAACCAGTTGCAGAAACATAAATGGCAGGAACGCAGCAAACTTGAGCAAATGAACGCCAGCACAACCAATGAGCCCGGCTCGCACCCACCAGCAACGCCCGTGTGTCACGCCACTACCCAGGCCCTGCTATCCATCACCACACCACACACACACACCCCATGCTCCCCATGCCCACACCCCATGCTCCCCATGCCCACACCCCATGCTCCCCATGCCCACACTCTGCGCACGAAGCACCCCATCCCATCTGACCCCACCTGCAGGGGAATGAGGGCGAGGAGAGCCGCGATGCCAGCGAAGGCCGGCTGGGGGCCCACCTCGAGGGCTATGAGCGCCGTCACCACCACCAGCTCCAGAGGCGCCTGGGGGGCGTGCGAGGGCGGGGTTGGAAAGAGCCAGCAACGGGTTAGGTAGGGAAGGATGGGCTGGGGAGGATGGGCGAGGAAGGAAGCACGAGTGCTCGAACATAGGAAGGGAAGCAGGGAGCACGGGAAGAGAGGGGGCAGAAGAGGAGATAAGAGGCGAGAGGCGAGAAAAGCACGCACTGCCCAGAGGAAGTGCACGAACATGCGAACATACCGCCCAGAGGAATTGCGAGAACATGGGAACATACCGCCCAGAGGAATTGTGCGAACATGGGGAGCTCGTCGAAGCGGCGCACGTCGTTGGACATGAGGTTGATGCAGTGGCCCGTGGAGATGCCACTCAGCGCAGCCCCGTTCAGCGACAGGATCTTGCGATACACTGTGGGCGCGGACGCCGGGCGGGAGAAGAGGTGAAAATCGAAAATGGGCATTTGATCAACTGCAAATGACTGCTGACGCAGAGGAGGGCGGGAAGGAGGAGCCGGCAAGCGAGGTGTGGAGGGAGGAGGCGGGCGTTCCATGGTGAGCCACGGAGGGACGAAGATGCTGATGGGGTGGGGATGAGGGTGGGGCTGCCCGCCATGCCCATCCCGAGCGCCACTGGAACAAAGAGCCAACTAGACACACGGTGAGAGTCGAAGCGGGGCAGGAAAGGCCAGCGCGCTCACTGAGGGCCATGGAGGAGACCCTGAGGTTCCAACCGGCGATGTGCGAGAGCATCCAGAGCTGCTGGTCCACCGCCGTGAAGCCCAGCGCCAGCACCCCCAGCAGCGCCGCCATCACGTACCCCTGCCAGGCGGGGCCGCCTGCCCCCAGGTCCTGTGCGTCCTGCAGAAACCGAATCTGCGCACCAGCGGGGAAGAAGGCAAGAAGAGAGGGCAACGGGGGCGAGGAGGAGAAGAAGTGGATAAGGCACCTCATGAAACACATACTCAGTTGAGGGGTGGACGGGCCCCGAGTGGGTAAGAGAGCACGATGCAAAGGGCGGGAGAGATCTGCCCATGGCGCCTCACGAGCTGTCGCAGCACTATGGCGGTGGCGATGCGCTGCCCCGACTGCAACAGCACCAGCGCCGCCACCAGCACGAGCCGCCACCTGAACGGCCACAGGCACGCCACCCAGAACCGTCCCTTCCATGCTCCCCCTCCCCTCTCCCCTCCCTCCGCCTTTCTCCCGTCTCCTTCCGCGCCCGTCTCCCCTGCCAGCTGCTGCTGCTGCTGCTGCGGGGTGCGCGGCGCCAGGAGCGCGGAGAGCTGCGCGCCCAGGTGCTGGGCGGAGAAGGCGGAGGGCAGAGGGTAGAGGTCGCACGGGCCCAGCACCTGGCGCACCCCCACAGCCATCAGCGGGGACAGCTGGGGGCAGGGGGGATAGGGGAATCGGAGTCAATGGGGGGGGTGGGAGAATGTGGGGAGAGGAATGCGAGGCACCCTATGAGACGGATGGGAAGAGGAGTATGAGGGCGAGGGCAGCAGAATGCAGGGGAAACAAGAGAATGGGGCACTTGTGCTTCTGAAACCAGGAAATTCGTGGGATTGGTATGGGAAACGGGGAGGAAGGTGAGGGTGTACCCACCCAAGACAGGGTGAGGATGGAGAAAATGCTCAGTCTCGGATCCGCCACGCCCTCTTCCTCGCCCTCCTGCAGGTGCGAGTCAGTCTTATCTCCACCGCCAGTAGTGGTAGCACCACCGGCGTCCGCACCAACATGTGTCACACTCGGAGTCCTCGCCTCGCTTCTTGGCTTGCTCGCCTCACTTTCCTCTGGTAGTACCTCCTTCAATCCGGAGGTCAAGGCCACAGCGGCCGCCGCCTCGACCCCGCCGCCACTCACATCCGCCAGCTCTGCCAGGCCCGGCGACGGCGTCGTCTCGTCGTCGCCGCCTGAGGGAATGGGCGGCATGGCGTCGCAATGATAACGCAGCTGGGCGTGATGTCGCTAGTACTAGTAGGTTCGACACGTATCGTCTGAGCGAGAGTGAACAAATCGATCTCGAGAATGCGTCTACTAGCTTGAACCATCCCGAGGATATCAGTGCAAAAGCCAGGGGGAAATGGATGCTATGCAATTCGCGCCTGAGGAGGCTGGAAGCAGCACGCCAGACCATAAGCTGCGGGCGATGCCCACTGGAGCAAGTACGACTTACTTCGCGAATCCGATTCGCAAGTCGCGGCTGCACCACAAGGTGGCGAACGGCTCTGCGTCCGAGCCTAGCCATTATCCAAGCACCACAACTTCGCCTCGCGATCGCCGCGCGGCGATGCATTCACCTCGTCACGATGGCCCTGCAAAGCATTCACGTCCACACGACCGCCGCGCGATGCATCCATCTCCACACGACCGCATGCATTCATCTCCACATGACCGTGCCGCTCTAGATTCATCTCACATGACCGCATATTCATCTCCATGCGACCGCATATTCATCCCCACTTGACTGGCCCGCGATGCATTCACATCCACACGAAAGCCCCGCGACGCAATCATCCCCACAGCTTGCATGTGCGACGCACGCTGCTGACAGCTAAAGAGAAGGGCGAAGAAGCTAGTGGGGCGCCAACATGGGCTGGGATGGATAAGGGTGTGGAAGAGTGTGGGCCTATCCGTACAGTACTGCAACTGGATGTCAAGAATTCCATGTGGTTCCCCACGCATAGGAGGTCATCTCCTGCAGGGCTTTTGCTGGGTCCAAGGGCACTCTGTTGCAGACGAAAACGGCTCCATAATCACCCGTTGTCTGGCGTAGTTTCTCAAACGTCGCCCGCTTAAAAACATATTCGTACGGAACCTACCCTCTTGTGTATTGGAGGAAGGTACCGCGGCGCTCTTACCCCAGATCTGCCGTCGGACTGGCGTTGTGAAGTTGTCACAAGTCCCCGAAAGGTGGGTTGGAGGGGTTGCAAATGTTTCACCAGTGGCTGGATCTTTAAGTTTTTGCGTTCGGAAGGATAGCTACCCGTGATGTCAGAGATTCCCACGAAACCAGCTCCGTGATACGGAAATAATAACTGAAATAGCACTTGTCCGGAAAACACAAACCAGCCAGATTTTGCCCTGAAAATGTTACTGTAGCATTTTAGGGCAAAATCTGGTTGAGCTACCCACCTACATACAGGTCAGCCGCGACTAGTGCAACGACCCCTAAAGCAAACATTCACACCGGGCAACTATTCGATAAGAGCAACTCCCAAGTATGCTGTTAGGATTTTTCCATTCCTTACCGAGCAGTACTGCTATCGCGTACGCTCGAACACGCCCGAAGCATCGGGACTATTCCGGACCTTTCTGACAGAACCGCCTCGGCCTCTCCAGACCTGCTAGTTCGACCTTCAGGAGTTCTCCAGGCCTCGCTGTGTCACTTCGAGACCCTTCGATCCTTTTCCCGAACCTTCCCATCGCATTGTTAGACTAGCTCTGGTGTTCCTATATCTTGGCTTGCCATTCCCTGTATCGTCATTCAGTGAGTGAACACTTCGTTATTCATTTCTGCGCTACTCTGCTTGTTCATTCATAACACTTGGTAATCAGAGCCACTTTCCTCGCTCACCCGTTTTGGAGAGTTGATTTTTTTATTTTTTTTTTTGGGTAAGTCCCTCACGTAAGCTGCAAAGCGGTTGCTCGCAAATTAGACTGATTAATTCGCCCAACTACGATAGCATTTGCGCTTACCTGAGTACAGGCACATTACGGATTTCCCCCTGTCCCGGCGGAGCATTCGCCAAATGGACCAAGCTCAGTTCAACGAGCTTCGGGAGCAGTTCAACGCCATGAACACACGCATGGCTACAGTGCTGGAGGACAACGAGCCACTTCGTGCAGAAGTTGCTGAATTACGCCAGGCGCGAGAGGATTCGCGTCAGAAAATTACCGCCCAAGAGGAGGTCGCCAGCACCGAACGTGTCGAAACCGTCTTGGACGAAATCACACGTGAGGTGTCACAAGAGAGCAAGGACAGTGAAGCCGCCACAGCAGCTGAAGCGGCAGCACGAGCAGCAGCCGAAGCAGCAGCAGCAGCCGCTCGGTCAGAAGCAGCCACTACTGTAGCCGTACCGGCGTTTATGCCGATCGTGACGACAACGACGATCAAACCGACAATGCCGCCCCCGTTCAACCCCACAAATATAAATACTACTATTACGGGCTTGTTATTTTCGGCGGAACTTTACTTTAACGCCGCTGGGATCACTGCTGACGAGTTAAAAATTCGACTAGCTGTATCCAGGCCCCCATATTGGTTTTGGACCACACTGATCGATCAGGCTCCCCCCCAAAAAAAAAACTTTTCGTCAGGGTCGGTACCGTATTTTACCCTGAATTTGCAGGGTCAGTACTGTGGAGAACACTGAATGATCAGGGTTAAGGTGGGAATGGACACTGATTTTCCTAGGACATACTGGCTGGCAGTAAGTCACCTCACCACACCACACCACCTTTCCAAAGCTCCTTATAGCATTATTGTTCAATATGAATGAAGATTCCAAGTTCTCTACAGAAAGACTTTAATAGCGTATAGCTGCACGTAACCTGTGTGGCACTCTAGATGACCATGGCCATCGGCCTATCAGCAGCAGTCTACTCTACTCTAGTACCATTACTGTAGGTTCACTAACTACTGCCTAGTAATTTACTATCACTACTACTTAACTGCGCTACTCGTCCTCATCGTCCCAGCGGTCAGCAGGGCCATAACCACGGTGCTCGGTCTCTTCCTCCGTCCATGCCTCCTGCCCGACATCCTCCTCTTGTGCAATCTCCGCGTCAAGCTTCTCCTTTCCTTTCATTCTCGCGGGCTGCTTCTTCGGCCTTGCATGAATACTGAAGGGCTTTCTCTTCCTGTAGTTGCGCCAGATGTCCACCACTTCCTCCCACTTCGGCTCGTAGTCAAGAAGGGCCATAGCCATCTTTAATCGCTCCCCGCTTCCAGCTTTTGATGATGTTTTGCCTTGAGAAACCCCGCTCGCACTCGACAGTGCTCAACGGGAGAACGGCGACTGCGATCCACAGCTTCACGATGTTGGGGTACGCCACCTGCCAGTCCGGAGTCTTCAGCATCGCCGTCAAGCCAGCATGGAACGACTTCTTTGTCTTCGGGGCAGCAGCTCGGACCGGGCAGAAGACGCGCAGCTCCTTGAATGCTTTCCGTTTGTCAATGCCTGCCATGCATCAAAGACAAGGGAAGCAATCGAAGTGGTGGGTTAATAGAAGACCATGGGACGAGCATGGTAGATGATCATGGGAAGTAAGATGAAGCAACGGAGGACATTCCCGGAATAGTTCTACCATGAAGCCGACATGCCTGGGAGAATCTCGTCCGATTGCTGCGCCCTGAACAGCGTAACTAGGGACTGGAGGTTCTCCCTGCAGTACTCATTGCGCTCTTGCCGCCCTAGCGGCCAGCCATCCACGATGTACAGGCGCACTCCTGACAGTGCCTCCACGTCCCCTAAACGGTCGTGCACGTTGGTAACCATCTGCTCCGCCATCAAGGTACCCAGGTCCACACAATGATCTTCATTGAATGGCCCGTCATAGCCATGAAGAGGGTCGTCATGCAGGAGGTAGGTATGTGTTGTTGGCCGGCCGTCTGCATCCACGCCCTCCACTGGCACGTGCCACGAACCTCCCTCGCCATGTCTGTTGAGGAACTTGGAGAGGCGCTTACTGACGCCACCCCCAAATTGGTCGCCGCAGTCGACGTAGCGCGACTCGATGAAGCTTGTAGTGCGCACGATCTGGGACTGGACGGCGACGAGATCGAGTTGCAGTGGCAAATAGGGAGGGATACACCTGCATTAGAAGGTGACAGTCGAAAAAAATATCTATGTACAGGGGCATACTCAAGGTCGACGACACTCATGAAATTTTAATACAGTCGGTTGAAATACTGAAAACGAAATAGTTCCGACGCTCACCTTGCGTTGCTGGAACGTCTTGTTGAAGACGTTCAGCTGCTCAAGCATGTCCGCAAGATAGTAGAGGAGAAATTGGAAGGTGAAACTCGTGGCCATCCTGTACATCGACTGGTCCTCAAACTCGTAAAGCATGACGATGACACCTGGCAGAACAGCAACCAACCTGAGGACTGCCTCACCACGAGACAGCCATCGGACGTTGCAAATCCCTTGCAGCTCTAGGAACCGCTGGTGCCATGGACCGGAGTGGCCGAGATACTCCGCGAGCCACTTGATGAAGGCATCAATCATGCCGAACTCAGGCAATGAGTCCGCAGCATCCTTGGCTGCCAGCGCCTCCCTGCAGCATTCGCAAGAATGATTGTTAGAAAGCCTCCTAAGAAAGATTTTGCACCCAGCGAAAGGCATGAGAAATCCTCCAGAAACAATGTTACCTGTGTGCGATGCAGTGGCATGACACGAGGTGGGGAATTCTCGTACGGAGCCGTGCGACAACTCCGTTTCAATGACCCAGCATCACCGCTGCACCGTCGGTGCTGATGCCTGTCAAGCGCATCAAGTCCACGCTTACTGCAGACAAGTGGGACAGGAGCAGTTGAACGAGAGAAGCCGCATCAGCCCTGTCGACACTCAGTAGAGCAAAACTCAGTCACAATCCTCCCCTCGCGCAGAAACGTCGCGTAGACGATTAAGTGCTTGCCGCGACACCTGTTAGTTGATTCATCACAGCTGATGCCCAGGAATGGACTCGCGCGGATGTAGTAAATCTGGGTGGTTTGCAGCCATGTGGCAGTTGCCTGTGTGAACTCCCCAAAGCCGTACCTGCAACACGCAAGGCATGAACATGTGGTTAATAGAAGCATATGCAAGCACAGTGAGGGGAAGTGGAGCACGTACGAGTTGTAGTACGTGCCGTAACCCTTCATGGGGAATCTTGGTACTCCACGCTTGGCCAAGTACTTGACGAGCCGCACCCATGCCTCCATGGGTTCGCTGCTTTGGCAGTTGAAGAGAAGGGCGTTCCTGCTCAACGTCGCGGGTGACGAAGTTGGTGTCGATGCGCGGCTGGCGAGAGGCTTCCTGAAGGAGGTCGACTTGGCGTTGAATCGCCAGTTTGTGCTTCTGAGTTGCCGCATGCCGCTTGAAAGCTTGGACTTGGACGTCGGTCGCTCCCTGTCCTCCGCGTCTGCACTTGCCGCTATCTCCAGCATGCTCAAGGCAGACGCTGCACTTAAACGCAGGAAAGCCACCAACAGTCTTAGTTAGTAACAGCCAAGGGTATCTATCCTGCCAGACCGACTTATACTTGTCATGGGCATCAGCGTAAAGCAGCTCAACAAGATTGGGTGTGGGAGTTGGGGCATCGCCAGTCGCTTCGTTGTTGGCGGAGGAAGAAGATGCGGGAGGTGGCGAGGTGGAGACGAACGGGAGAGTCCCCTGACAGAAGCGCCCGAGCCGTTTCGCAGCCGCGCCGCTGGACTCAGGCTTATCGGGGAGTGGCGTCTCTGTGGGGTCAGTCGCTGGGATCCAAACGGGTGCGGGGAGCGGAATGGGAACGACCGCTGCCTCATTCGCCCTGTCGTCGTCAGCACGTGCGGTGGGGTCAGATGTTGGCTTGGGCAGAGGTGATACACGCTCCAGAATGGAAGCTATC